ACAGTGCCACCACTGGCAGCACTAAAACTGTGTCATGCAAGTTCTATACACCCTGCAATAGAACTTCCATTGTACTGTGCGCTGCGCACAGTGCACGCCGTGTGTTGGGACGAATAATTCAATGACATGTGATCAAAGACCCACCAATCAGATGATGAGAATTTGTTCAGGTGTTGCACAATAGATGATGCCAAGAAAAGGCAGGAAGCACCTGTAGTCCTAAGGACTCTTGACACGGGAAATAAGACTAGGAAAGTGATAAGCGATCGAGCTTATTGATGAAGTCTTGAAAGACTGTGGGTTGTAGGATGATGGGAAGCATGATTATGGAGAGAGTGCCACAGTTAGAATGTGCGGACAATGAAAGATGATGAGTGGGATACAGTGCGAGATCCAAGTATTGCGACTCTGACTGTGAGCATTGGTGGCAGATCTTGTATATATTTTTTTTGAAATCACACCTTTTTTTTTTTAGATTTTATTTTTTGGCCCAATAAATTGATTGGGGGTCATTTTAATCATTTAAATCAACTGATTCCACTTAATTAGAAAGTGTCAGATATTGTAACACGTTCAAACACCCTTACTTCATCAGCATCGACTCCACTTGCATGTAGGTTTTGCACAATCACCCAAAATAATTGTTTTGATTAAAGTCAAGATCTGACTTTAAAAGTTTTTCTTTGAAGTTTGAATTTTAAAGACAGCACACTCACTTTTGGTATAATCATTCCTTGATCTATTTACAGTAATATTGTGAATCATCTGTGCTGGTGTAGGCTTACTTGAACCATCTAAAGGTGTATTGAAGTCCCAATTGATAGTCTTATTCTTAACGTTTCTCCATACAAATTTAGATTGAGATTTTTGTAATACCTTTCAAATGTGATAGGCCTGATTAAAAGTAAAAAGACTCCACCTTCATGAAGGACCATCAATCAAACACTATAAGTTACACAAGGATCTGAAATTATAAACATTTGAGAGGCGAATCCATGAATTTCCGCAGGAGGGGCGTTTCATCGGCCGAAAAATCTGAATGTAGACAGGTTTTTTGTTCTCCAGACACTTGGGCTCTGAAAATCAATAGGTGTGTGTGTGTATATATACATAGCTCTAATCCTATTTCGAAGTATGAATGACAGTTTAAGAGATTACTGGATACAAGCCTGTGATGTTTTCTGTCTTCATTGTAAAAGGAACGTCTTCATTATGCACGCGTGTTGCGTGCTTCCAGGAAATGAATACAATTCATAACCCACTTTTTGGGGTGAAATACTTGACTCGCGAGTCACGAGTAAGGCATAGTTATCACAGTCTTGTCGAGTCTGATTCCCGAGTTATTCGCCAATGTGCCTCGAGTCAAGTCCAAGTCACCAAAAATGCGACTCAAGACAGACTTGAGTCCGTCACCTGGACTTAAAGTACTACAAATCTGATCAGTTGTAATCTTCTTACAGACGGGAAATTCTGTCCTGATTCTCAAGTTTTGGCAAACTCAGGCTAAACTCCTATACCGTCATAAATTTCATATGTCCTGATTTCAAACACCAGCAACAATCTGCCTCCTAAGTACCAGTCTCAACACAATGACTGTTTGAAAGTTTGTATGTGCATAGACAGGGATTTGCTATAAATGAAAAAATGAGGTCACATCAGGATGACGTCATCCAAGTTTTAAAGAGTATCACTATTTCTCAAGAACACAACACGGTAACTTCACAATTCTTTTTGTAATAGGTTTGCTAGGTCATATTTGTACAAAATTGTGACATTTCATGTGCCAAGATGAGGTCGTCAAAAATGTGATAATGACATAAAGGTATAATGTGGGTCTGATCATCATGACTTGGTGAGAAGTTGGATAATGTTATTTTTAATGTGCAAGATCTCAGTTGATGTCACAATAATGTCATCGGCTGATTTTTGTTATGAATTTTTTTTGTTAAAAAGTGTATTTTACTTCAAAATTTGACACGGTCTTTGATTAGATCGAGTCCAAACTTACCAAAGACCAAGACCATCACATTGTAAATGTGTGCACTGACAGGTTGCCCTCACAATGATGTTATCCCGGGTCACGTGATGTCATCGAAACACCAGGGCAAACCCCTTCTCTTACTTTATAGCGATAAGTGTTGCTGGGTTCTTTAATGTGCATTACACAACACACGGGTTTACGTCCCATCCGAAGGATGAAGCAATAATGGTAAAAAGCCTTGCTCAAGAACACCAGCACCATGTTCCAACATACAGCAGTACACAAGTCGAACACTCTAACCTTTGGACCACAGCACCCCGATGTTATTATTATTAACATGCTAAAACCTAAAAATGTTTTGGTAATACATGTAGGTTTGTTAGGTCATAGATATTTCCACAAAATGTGACAATACGTGACATCATCAAGACGTGATCAAAAAAAATTGATGTTTTAACAACATTTAAAGGGTTAGTCTGATCGTCTGGTAGCTTGGCGGGCCAGATAATGCGACTAGTATGCAAAATTCGAAGTGATGTCTGTGATGTCAGTACTTATTATTCTTGACTAGGGACAATTTGGGCATAGCTTGGTAGCAATAGTGCTGGTTTGGGTGGGGAAAAAGGAAATGAAAGTCTCATTCTGTCACGGCCTTTTGAGTAAAGCTTGATAATTTTATTGTGGTGAAGTAGTTCCAAACATGATCTGGTTTAAAGCTGATTGAGCCAAGGCACCACATGCCTCTTAAGGGTTTGAACCCACATGGTGTGAGTCGAACATCGTGTACTGTGAGTGTGAAAGTTAACCTACAAAAATCTATCGGATCAAACTACGTACAACATTTGAAATAAAACAGTTGCTTTTTTAATTTTGGTTTATTGGTTGACATTGGATGTAAAAAAAATTACTGAGAATTTTTATGGAGTTCCCATATACACTGTGTATCTAATCCCACATGTATTTAAGGGATAATACGGCCTAAAATACGCCCTAAAATACGCCCAATTGGGCTACACATTGTGTTTTAAACAAAATGGTATTAAGTAGAAAGAGCATTTTAAAAGTAGAATATAAACATCCACGCAACCATCCTTGAAAATCTGGGTGTTTGTGTTATTCTTGGGAGAACCGTGCAAGAATGATTTTCGGTAAGACATTAGGTTTGTTTCCTTTCAACCAGACCTTTGAAATAGTATAGGTAAACAATCCAAAACATGAAATTTTCGGGGATTTCAAGGCGTAATGCCCCTTTAGCGATTGTCACAAATGTATGTAGTAGAAGTCAAAGCATTTTTTAAAAGGAAAAATCTTTAATTCAATTTATTTCAAGCCAGCTGTTATGTGATAGCCCTCAGAGAAAATAGTTTTATCTGAAAAGTAAATATTTGTACACAATGTTTTCTTAAAACTTATTTGGACAAATAGTGTAAAAATATATCTTTGCACAATGTGTATGAATTAAAATTGAAGAAATATTTAAAGTACTCTTTTTGAAGTTTTGTCATTTGTTAATTCTTTTTCGATTATAAAGATATATATGATAAGCTTCAGGTTTATTAAGTAAAGTCATTCAAGTTAATCAACAATAAGATATCTATTTTTTAAATGTACATACAATGTATCTGGAATTTCAATGCTTATAATAATCCACCATATTCAGTTGCAGGGTAACAAGTGCATAGTGTTTTGATTGTGCAAAATGCTTCGTAATATTGCTTATAAATATAGGTTTTCCCGGCCAATTTTGCAAAAATAGCATTCGAATTCATCTTGATAGTGGCCAATTGGAAGCGGAGTTCTTAATTCTTTATCTTAGGGTTTTTGATCTTCTGTTTTCAAATGTGATTTTCGGTTACATATTTGTTTATATCTCTTTATTTTTTTTAGATGTTTAATCATCTTAGAGTTCCTTTTTGTCTCTCTTTATTTTGGAATGATGAGGATACGTCTCCTGCAGGTTGGCCATCGATCTCTTGCCGTGCATCTACATCTGAAATTCTCACGTAACGCCCATGAGCTGCCATTTTGATATTTATAGTGCTTCAAGCTATTAAACATTGTGCACGGTGATCACGGTTTTTATATCCATACTTCCAAATCAGAACAAAGGCACTCCATCTAATTCTAACAAACAACGGAATGACATAAACCTATTTCGAATTCATTTGCTTACTCTTCACAAATGCCTGCTTAATGGTGAATTTGAATGACCAAACTTACACAGCTGGGAGCTCCGGCGAATTTGGACGCTCATTTGTGCAATTTAAATTTGAATGCCCTGTTGTTAAAATTGCATGATTAAAATGTCTAATCGCATGCTTCAAATGTTAAATTGATTGGTGTTTTTAGCTAATTGAATGTTGATCTCAATGTGCATTCAAATTCGTGCGAAGATGAGTGATTGGTCACCAATTTGGCCGCCAAATCTGTTAACTTGGCTGGGAAAACCTATACAAAATGTAGTACAAATTAAAAACATAAATCTTCCAAACACTACACTTGAAGTCTATATGCATTGTATGTACACAGGAATGCAGAAAAACAAGATTTACATGAGGATGGTACTCCATTTATTTATTCTGGTGGCATGGTTCTGTTCTTACGTGATAGAGTGCTTACATGGAAAACAAAATGCCCAACACCCTGCTTATTGCTATATGATATTTGACCGTTATACACATCCACTTTTAGGCCAAACAAAATAAATAGTCGGTCTCTGATCAGCGCGCGCGTCGATTTTAATCATGCGCGTCAACTTTTTTTTTCTTCAAATTGTCCGTGGTAGCTACAACAGCGCCCTCTATTGCCGCAACTTCTCAAAACAATTTTGTACCAAGGAATGGGGAAACCGCACCAAGGCAAATGATGGAGGGCACCAAGGCAAATTATGGAGGACATTAATGTATATGAGGACACAAAAAGCAAAAAATAGTACCCACCTTGTCTGTTCAATCCATGCTTAAAAAACAAAAAAGGCCAAAAAAAACCCAAAAAACGCATTGCCGCATCAATTCCGGAACTTTGGTCTGACCAGAGACCGACTATTTTTTTTTTTGGCCTTAGTATTTGGGTTTTTCCTTTCCCCGTCTGAATTTTGTAATCATTTATTTTATTTGTCTGAATATGTCCCTTGATACCTTATTTGAATTGACTTTGTACCATAGACTTCAAGACAAAGGCCAGAAAATCTTGTTTTCCAAGTTTGCTGAATAAGTGGCGAGTTATTTCTAAAAAGGGATGCACGTTGGATGTGATGGTGCATAAAATGATAAGCCAACGCATCATAATGTTGTCCCTGAATAGTTAATCATTCCAAAGATTGTTTTTATCTCAAATTAGCTATTCCATGTCAGAGTGCTTTAACCAAAACCTTGCCAAGTTGGGCTGATGCCCAGGTACATTTGGCATTGGGTATTTATAATTTTACCACATGAAATAAATCTGTTTGAAATGAAACACGATATTCAATTTATCCTCAAACGCCTTCAGCATTTCTATCTCCCCACTCAACACATTCAAATCAATGTTGCTCGGTCATCTGTGACTGCAGATGAAAATAAGGTATCAGGGGCGGATCCAGGAATTTTTGCAGGGGGGGGGGGTTCATCGCCCAAAAAAATCTGATATGTAGACACATTTTTTTCTCCGGACACTTGGCCTCCGTAAAATGAAAGGGGGGGGGGGGGCCTCATACCACACTTTCAATGGGGGCGCTGTTCAAAGTTGACAATTATTAGCACTAAATCACAGAATAATGTTCAAATACCCCCAACCAAGCGGGCTCACTACGTATTTTGTGCAAGGCACGGGGAAGGGGGTTTCGATTTTTGTTTATGAATTTGTGTGGAAAGACCTTTTTTTGACAGCTGTTTTTGGTTTTTTTTTACACCCCCCCCCCCCCAGATCCGCGCCTGGGTATCAATGGAAAGCTAATGAATTACCCTTTGTGATGGCACTATTTTGAGATTTCAAGTTCATACTTGTATACTAATCCCTTATTTTTGGATTACCTTCTCTTTTATACACACAGTATATACAGCTGTTGAAGAACTTGCAAGAAAAGTAACATGCTTTCTTAGGTAAGACTCGAACCCAGCACCTTTTGCATATGTATACAGTGTAGATGGAGCCACTCAACATTGGCAACATTTGTACAAAACACAACAATGATTACCTAAGGCCATTAAAAATTGAAATTGTTGGTGTTCAGCACTCTGATTGAAAAAAATCAGTCGGCAGGGGAATATATATTTACAGTATTTTATAAATCCCAAATGTTCACATCCAAAGTGACTTGAGGGGGCCGTAGCCTGATGTTATGGTACTAAACCTACATGTAGAAGAGGTTACACCATGTTAACATGTCTAATTTTGAAGACAGGCGATACTCAATAAATGAAAATTAAATTCCTTTAGTTCATCACTACTTGCAAAGGGGAAATGCCGGGCCAACACCAGGGGCCAACACCAGGGGCCAACATGGTCCGTATCGCATCGTGCGTAAAAGTCTTTTTGTAATTAAACCTTCATTAATGATTTTTGATAGTTTAGATCATTCCCAACGCCGTTAGCATCAGAAATTTGTTACGTCCAGGTCTTTGAAATCTGTTTAGACATGCACCTCTCTGGCTCCCACCACTTTTACTGTCGTTCTTGCTTTATCTAGCCATGTCTAGCGATGGGAATCAGTGTCAGTGGAATGCATGCATGCATGCTGCATGCATTTATGCGTCATGGGATGTTGGAAAAACGGAGTTGCCCGAGTATTTGTGAGAAATTTGTCTGAAAAATACACCTTATTGCCAGTTATTGGAGAAAATAGTTCAAAATGCACACCATACACAAAAATATGAAAATATAAAAACAAATCAGGGCGGGACGTGAAAATCGGGGCAGTCAGTGATGAAAACCCAAAATTCAATTGTGAATGGCCTAACCTATCAACTTCTATATACTGAACATATTCGTAATCTATCAAATGTGGGTGTGCCTGTTTACATTTCATTTCCATAAAGGGAATGTTAACATTATCTTAGAAATTGGCTTTGAACAAATAAGTTACATTTGTACACATTTGGGTTGAGAGTGTGAGAGAGAGAGATGGTACAACCACCAATTACTTTGAATTTACATGTATGAAAATAATAGTTAAAATACACTCTTCCAGACATACTGGAGATCATACATTTTTGCAGGCACAATGTATGATCTCCAAAATATAATGCACTTAGATGTGCTGCACCTCAGTTGATTTTGGAGCCCAAGGTGCTGTTTTTCTTTGATCAGGTTGGCCACTTGGATTTTTTAAAATGAATTCTGAACCTCAATGTCACTGGAGTGGGCAGACCAAAGTATGTCTAGCACATGACCTCAAGTGCCAAGCAAGTCGACCCCAATGGATGTCACTAGTCCGTTGCCACAGCAAGTTGCTTACAACTGTTTCATATGTATACCAGCCAAGGCTGTCTTGATATATAGTGAAATTATGGACATCACTGAATTTATAAAACCTGTTGCATGTACAACAGTTTTTATGGCTTCAAATGGAAAAATGTTGATGACTATTGCTAGAGTGCAGACAATCTACTTGAAAAGTGGCTTTGCTTTTGCCCTATAATCTATGATTCTATAATGTGGAAACTGCTTTCATCCAGAAACAGATGCCTGGTTCTCTACGTCTGCCACAAGTTTTGGTAGTGAATTCCCTAAAATAAACTAGAGGTCATTCTGGAATCTGGAGACTTCATAGACAGTGGGGGATGGGGTATCATGATGCGGTGGTACGGGTGAAGTTCTGCACTGCTGAACTGGGGAAGCAGCCTCTTTTACCTCCAAACTCTCCTTCTAGAAGTCCACAACTGACTGCAAGAGAAGGCAACATCTCGGATTATTTATGACCATATGATAAAAAGAAAGCTTTTTTTTTCAATTACATGTTTGTTTTTTTATTTAAGACAAAAATTAAATACAAAATTGGGCACTCTTTTGTTTACACACTTAAGTGGGTTGTGGGCAGCACATACAAATCCCATGACAATTAATACGGGGACTGTAAAGAGGGAAAAAAGGACACAAGGGGAGTCCTTAGGTTGCGTATTCTGTGAGCACTGGCTGGGCAGGCGGGAACCCTCTTTTATTTCAAATTCAAATGTCCCATCATCCTCAGTCGATAACAAGTGGGGAAAATTAGGCCGGTGGAGAGACTGATCATGGTGGAGATCGTTCTGGAAAATACAATAAGGGTAATCATAAATTGAGGGTAAACTATTCAACATCTAAATCATCATGGTAATAAACTGGAAGAATAGGAGCCTATTTCCGACACCTCGTGTGTCGTGGCCTATCTTCGCCCATCCCAAACAATTGAAATCTTTACATATGTGGATTCAAACAGTGCAATCAATAACTAGGGATCAATAACTGGGAAAATCACAGGCTTTACAGTTAACAATAAACATGAAACTGGGTTTAATCTGAAAATAAGCTTGCTCACCATCCGTAACCAGCCCAATGCCTTTCGATTCCCGCGGTTGCTATGTCGGTTCGCTGCATTGGTTCGCATGGTGGCGCTATTTAAATATTAAAGTCGCAACATAGCCGCCCCTAAACTGTGCGCAATAGTTTACATATCGCTGGCTCTAGCATGGGTGCACAGATGGTGGAAGTTAGCAGGTAAAGTTAAGAATCAGTAACTGGTTTGTAAGAAATAGTAACAGGTAACAACAGGCTTGACCAAGAGGCCGCCCCATGAATGGTCACAGGAGGTGCACTCTGCGGTAACAAGGACTAGGTGCTTAAGTTTCATCAGGCTCAGGCAGAGTGGCAGCTCCAGGATTTCCGCCAAGTGCTGTTTCAGAAGGAAGCCGGATCAGGCGTGCCACTGGCCGGGTGTAGATGCGATCTCCGACCTGCACCCTTACAGTGCGAACCCGATTATCAGTACCAGGTAGTACCTCAGTGACCTTAGCCAGAGGCCAAGAGGCACGTCGTTGCTGCAGATCAGCCATCAGAACTACATCACCGATGGACAGGTTGTTGGTCTCACTGCGCCACTTCTGGCAGGCTTGCATGGCCGACAGATAGGACTGAACAAACTCCTTCCAAAATTTCTGAATCAGGGCTTGGCACTGGCGCCAGCGACGGCGACTGAGCACGTCGCCTCTGGATAGACAACCTGTGGCGGGGCATGGTCCCGCCGCCCCATCAGAAGCATGAAGGGCGTGATGGGATCCGGATCAGCAATGTCTGATGACACATAAGTCAATGGCTTCGAATTCAGCAAGGCTTCCACCTCAACCAGGCAAGTATAGAGAACGGAAGCGCCAACTGACCGATCGCCCAGAGTGGCGTACAAGGCAGTTTTAACCGAATCTCTCTCTCCCAGGTCCCACCAAAGTGCGGTGCAGAGGGAGGATTGAACCTGAAATTGACTTTGTGTTTGGCAAGTCTCTCCTGAAGGTCAGGTGCCAGACCTCCCTTGAAGTTAGTCCCATTGTCGCACAACAATTCATGAGGTGTGCCACGTCTTGAACGGAACCGGTTGAACGCCAAAAGAAAGGCGTCGGCATCAAGAGACTCAAGCAAATCTAAGTAGACGGCTCTAGTGGTCATGCACTTCCATATTAATATACCCCATCTCTGTTCACTTCGTCTCCCCATGGTAACGGTGTAGGGCCAAAGCAGTCTACCCCTGTGGAGTAGAATGCTGGCTTGCCAATTCGCAGACGAGCATGTGGCATATCTGCCATCTTGGGCACTGAAGGTTGACCACGCTGTCTTAGGCATCCTGTGCATCTGCTTTGTAGACCTCTGATGGACTGGCGTCCTCTCAACAACCAGAAGCGTCGACGCATATCTGCAAGCACAGTACCAGTTCCAGGATGCCCAAGACGTTCGTCAGCATTTTTGATCAGCAGTTGTACTATCGGGTGCTTGCAGTCAAGGACGACAGGGTGTTTCACATCAATGTCCAACTCCGCTCGACGGAGTCTCCCTCCAACTGGGTATCCTTGTCGATTTCGGGAGCAAGTTTCGCCAGGCGACTATTTCTTGGAACAGGCTTGCCAGCTGTAAGAGCTGCAAGATCATCTGGAAAGCTTTCAGCTTGCACCTTTCCATAGAGGGCTTGTTCAGTCTCCATCCGTTGGTCAGCGCTGAGGTAATCTGGCTTAGTTTCATCCTCAGCCTCACACAGAATGCGTCCATATGCCTCAACCAGGTCATCCCAGGAAGCAAACTGAGACGCGTCAATCTCTGGAACCTCTCCTCGATTGCCGAGGGTAAAAGCAGTGAAAAGACTGCCCTTCAGCGCAACTTCGCCATCATCCTGCTGCATGTGCGATGGCAAGCTTGGCCAATCCTCTTCAGGACCAGAGAGGAAGGGTGGAGCAGACCACCGACTCTCCGTGGTCAACTCGCTGAGCATCAATCCACGGGTCAGGTCATCTGCAGGGTTCTTGGCGGTGTCTACATACCGCCAGATAGTGTGGTCTGTGAGTCTTTTAATCTCAGCAATGCGGGCACCGACAAAACGGTTGTACCGACAAGATTCTGAGGTAATCCAGCTCATAACTGTCGTGCTGTCACTCCAACAAGTGACGGAAAGGTTCAACCTCAACTCATCCTCGAGAAGCTCGGCCAGTTCAGCACCAGAAAGAGCAGCCTGAAGTTCCAATTGGGGAATGGTTTGCACACGCTTTGGTGCCAAACGGGAACGTGCCATGACAGACCTGACACACACCTCTCCTGACTTAGCAATGGCTTGAAGATAAGCAACGGACCCATAGGCCCTTTCTGAAGCGTCGGTGAACACGTGCAGTTGGTAGGACACATTTGCTGGATCAAAGTGTGGGGGAAGGTAGCACCGAGGCAGGTATACAAGAGGGAGATCATTGATTTCTTTGCGCCATCTCATGTGTTGGGCACGTAAGCCATCCTTGCCCTCGTCGGGGATCTCCTCATCCCAGCCCCATGGTCTCTTCCAAAGCTCCTGAACAAGCATCTTTCCCCTCACCATATATGGCATGAGAAAACCAAGGGGGTCCTTCCCGGCACATCTCATCACATCACTTAGAACAGCTCTTCGAGTGAGGACCGGCCACTCACGAAGTTCGAGTTTGTAACGGAGTGTGTCGTGCTGGAAATTCCAGTGGGGTCCTAAGGATGCTTCCTCAGGTGAATCACAACTTGAACTCAGCCATCTCTCAGTACTGCAGGAGCGGGCTTCCTGTGGAAGGTCTTTGACCACTTCTACGAAGTTGCTGGCCCATTTCACAATGGGAAATCCTCCAGCACCAAGCTCTTGACATAGTTTTTCAACTAGGTCTTTCGCTTCTGGGACACTGGACTTGCCATTTAGGCAGTTGTCAATGTAGAATGAATTCATAACACTTCTGACAATGTCTGGATCTGGAAACCGGTCCTGCACATGCTTCTGCAGGGCGAAAGTGGCACAGCATGGACTGCATGTGGTGCCAAAGGGGAGTACGTTCCACTCCAGTTCCTCCATTTCGGCATCAGGGTCCAAATCCCTCCATAGGAACCGAAGCATGCATCGGTCATACTCTAAAGTGCGCACACAGTGAAACATCGCCTTGATGTCACCGGACACAGCTACTTGATGCTGTCTGAATCGTACTAGCACTCCAACCAGCGGTGAACCCAGGGTAGGCCCAGGAAGCAAGTGGTCGTTCAGAGACTCTCCCCGGTATGGGAACGCACAGTTGAAAACCAGTCTTGTCTTTCCATTCTGCCGAACAACATGGTGAGGTATATACCAATGCCGCTAGGGGTTTCTTTCTTTCTCCTCAGCAGTGAGCATGCGGACGAGTCCTGCCTCCTTCAGTTCCCGGATTTTCTTGGAGTGCTCAACAGCGAGTGCTGGATCTCTCTGGAGACGTTGCTCATTCCGTTTCAGAGCAGGCGACACTGCACTTGCCGGACAGGTAAGTACCTCGTTGTCACGTCTCCACAGGAGGGGGGTTGCGACACGGTCAATTCCATCTACATTTACATAGGTAGATTTTGCCTCAAGGAGATCAACCGCTCGCTGGTCCTGCTTGGATCGAGTGGCTTGTTTTCGATCAAGATACATCTGCGCATCGTGCTGCCACATCTTACAAACGTTCTCGTGGAGAACTCTGTCGGCTTCCATGGGTGGTAGTACAGACAAGAAGTTTACTTCATTCTTGCGCCTGGACTTCAGAATGGGGCCCTGGACAGCCCACCCAAGTTTGGTGCGCACAGCCACTGGTGCACCTTCGGGACCAAAATGACTCTCAATGGGAACAATCAGATCTGGGCGATCACTGCCGATCAGCAATAAGGGCCGTGCCTCCTTGACTTCCTGCAGTGGAAGACACCGCAGATGAGGCCACCTCCTTTGCAAATCTCGTGCAGGAACAGAATGCTCTGAAAGCCTCAACATGGAAGACGAAAAGACATTGGAAATGGTGATGCGTGAATCTTGGTCGTGGGTTGGTGCAATATCGACCAAGACTATCACGCCCTTGCAGGGGGTACATTCCTCCCTGGCGGTTGCAATTGGCATCTTGGTGCTCTCACCCTTGAGGCCAAGTGCCTTGGTAGCTTCGCTAAGCATCAAGGAGAAGTTGGCGGCATTGTCCAACAAGCAGTATGTCTCCAGCTGTCGACCATTGGCATAGAGCGTGACTGGCAAAATCTTCATGCTGACATCAGGGAGCCAAGGGTTTCCATCCCCGTAAAAGACAGACAGGTTTGGGTCGAAGGAGGAATAGTACACTCCATACCCTGGTTGCTCTATCAGATCATGGAGAACGGTCAGGTGCATCTTGTCGCATCAGCGACAAGGCTTGCGTAGGTCGCACTCCTTTCCGTTTTTT